TGTGTATTTTATAACTACGAAAGTCTGGTCTGGTCTGGTCTGATCTGATCTGTCTGATCTGGTCTGATCTGATATGGTTTGTGACTGAAAACAGTCCAAAAGAAAACATCTTTAACCATAAGGTAAACTAACGCTACAAACTGACACTTTAATTCTCTTAAGTACCTTATGGTCTGATGACATTGAAGCATGCATGTAACCTCTTACTTTTCCCATTCATCCACTCAGGTATTTATTTCAATTCAATCCTATCTGTGAAATTATAAACTGATTGTTTTATTGATCTGACTATGATTATAATTTAGAACCTAATCACTAGATCAGAGGATAAAACATTAATTGCTTATAAGCGAACTGATTATGTATCGTGCATATGCACAGGACATATTTGTAATTTTGTATACATCAACACATCACCTCCTTTAAGGCTTTAATAATATTACGAAAATAAATTAATATTTTTTCTGTTGGTCCCGGTCAATGAGGTAACAGTCTAGAGGGGTGAATAGACTGTTATGCTTTTTAACTTTTTCAAGTCAATTTCAATGGGGTACTCTAATGTTCTAATTGATCTAGCATCATCAAAATCTAAATACATTTATTCCTTACAATTTCTTTTTATTCTTTTGCAATTTTTGGTAAATGAATGTTAAAGAAAAAGAATAGAGGAAAAGTGCATGTGTTTATTACTACCGTCATCTCATTTTATGTGTCTTGTTTTGATTTGATACAATTATTAATGAAATGGTTGAAAAAGTAAAAACTATAGTTGAGGTTTAGGTAAAATAAAGTGATATGATGACTGCATATTTCTATCAAAAGAGTAAATATGAAACTTATTTGGACATTGTTCTATATATGAACAAAACATATACAAGTTTAAAAATAAGAGTGAGTATGTTTTATTTCCCAAATACTACGTATGACTTATTTTGTACCATTGAAAGAATATATTGATCAAAGTTTTTCAAAATAGAAGTGAATGAATCATATTTTGAAAATAAAATAATGATAGTATCATTTATGAACTTTAACATTGTTTTAGTTCTATTTATGAAATTTTCTCGAATTTACTTTTGGGACAATCCAAAAATGAAAATAAAATGCATTGGTATGACTCTTGTTACACATCGAGAGTCCGGACCATAACAAATAAAAACTCGAGCCGTCCAATATAGGAGCAACCACCACGCAAATTACAACTCAGATAATTCAATTAAAGCACATGCAATGATGCACTAAAATATAATCTCACCCTTTTCAATCCATTTACTATTGTACTTTGCTTATAATACGCATTAAGGGTCATAATTAATGTATGCAAGTTATTGTTAGTGGGAGCGCATCTCTCACTAGAAAAGTCCGGAGCTTTCACACATGTTAAATTGTGTAAAAGTTAAAATATATAATGTTGAGGTTTTTTTCTGACAAGTAATAAAGAAAATTATTTTAACTACGTATTTTCAAATAAATTTTATTTTTTTCAATAACAAAATATGTTATAATTTATTTTTTCAAATTCATAACTAATAAATGAATAACTAGTAACTAACGGACAATCTAGAATAGCACTTCCGATCAAACACAATCCTCATCACCTGCACAAAATAAAGTGCAAAAACAAAACAAAGAAAATAAAAATTAACTTTGTAACTAAGTAAGACTCATTAAATTACTTAAAATAATATAATTTGTCAAAAATAGTCCGATATGCTTAAAACATAGTTTCAAAATTCATTATTTACTTCTCAATGCAAAGATACAATTTTCATGTTTAAAACTACGTTGCAATAAAAAACGAATAAATGGCAAAAGTAAGACCCGAGAGTTTTGAGTGGGCAAAAAAGGGACCATTTTTGTGAAAGACAAAAAAGGGACCTGCAATTGTACTGTGGGCCAAATTAAAACAACGGAAAATAGACCAAGCGCCTCCCGATCTGTTTCTACGATCAACAATGGAGGCAGGGATGCTGCAGACGGCGAACACCAGCGATGTGGAAGGCCAGAGACGGAGGAGACGGGGACCACCAGTGACGTCGACGACCTTCGACGCCGACTATTACAGTGGTGAATCGAGCTTCGTCTTCCACATGCGAGCTTTGTCCTCCACCTGCGAACTATGTCTTACACCTGCAAGCTTCGTCCTCCCCCGACACGCTTCGTCTTCCACCCGCGCGCTTCATCCATCCGGCAACAAGATGGGCCAGATCTCAGTATCAATGACGAATTTGGTGGCTGGGGACAAACCTATTGTCCACGATCTGAGGTGAAGTTGGGGAGGAGGGTAAGAAATTGGGACAGGGGATCGAGAATTTGGGGGAGGCTGAGAAACGGGCTGGTCGGGAAGGGGAAGGGGGCTGTTGGGGGCTGGGGGAGAGTGCTGGAGGGGGTTGGGGGCTATTGGTGGTTGGGGGAGGGTCCCGAAGGGCGGGCGGGGGCTGCTGGTGGGTGGGGGAGGGGTGGGGGAAGGTGCTGGGGGTGGTGGTGGACACCTTTGGGTGGTGGTGGCAATCCCCGTCGAACAACGGCGGTCAATGAGTGTTTCATTGGTCTTGGTCATTAATCGGGTAATTGGTCACTGGTCGAATTGGTCACGGTCGTTTGTCGGGGTTGATCACTGGTCAAATTGGTTATGGTCACTGGGTGGATTGATCATGATCACTGATAGATTGGTCACTGGTCGGATTGTTCATGGTCATGGTCACTGGTTAGATTGGTCACTGGTCGGGTTGGTCATGGTCACTGATCGGATTGGTCATGGTCATTGGTCGGGTTAATCACTGGTGGGATTGGTCATTGATAACTGTAACTAGTCGGACTAGGTAACTGTAACTGGTCGGACCAGGTAACTGTAACTAATCAAATCGGGTAACTGTAACTGGTCGGGTCAGGTAACTATAACTAATCGAATCGGGTAACTGTAACTGGTCGGTCAGGTAACTGTAACTAATCGAATCGAGTAACTGTAACTGGTCGGACCAGATAACTGTAACTGGTCGAATCATATAAGTGTAGCTGATTAGATCAGGTAATTGTAACTGGTCAGATCAAGTAACTATAACTGGATTAAGTTTAATAACTGTAACTGGTCAGATCCGGTAACTGGTCAGATCGGATAACTGTAACTGGTCAAGTTATTGGGCACTTAGGTAATTGGGTTGTAGTGACTAACATCGTTTTCACACAAATTATAGTGTCAAAAATTAAATATTTAATACACATATAGTTTCATATCCAATTACATAATGTCTCTCTTTAGAAATAAGAAATAATTTTAAAATAAAAAAGAAGCATTAATGTGAGATTCAATAGAATGCATTCCTACGGAATACAATTTTACTTAAAAATAATTCAATTAGGTTTGATTTTATTTGATATTAAGATATTCATTTTTTCTTTAATTTTAATCACTTTAGATGTATATTGTAATAGATTTATTCCGTTAAGAGAAGATATTTAAAGGGCATAAAAGTAATTCATCAATTTAACATAACCAGCAATCTGACATTCCCTTGATGTTAACCAAACACAAGTGGGAATAAATTGAATACATTCTTGTCAATCTAACATACCCAGCAATCTGACATTCCCATGGTAATCTGACATTCCTTGAACCAAACATACCCTAAAGGCAACGGCATTACAGAGTGTCTAAAGCTAAGCCAATGCATGGTTGAATACTTACGGAGGGTAATTAAGGCTTAGTCCCCTTTTTAGTCTCATTTTTGAAAAGTGAAAAAAAGGTCTCTTTTTAGTCCATAGCTCTTTTTTTAATATTATTTTAGACATAACCCCATAAAAAACAATGTTAATAAAAAACATTTGTAAGCTTTAAATAACTCTAATTAACTTCTGTATATAGTCCAAAAACACCTTTATACGCAATATCAATAACTATAAAATTTATCTAAATAGATAGTATTACTTTTGTCAATCAAAACAACCTTTGTAATAAAAAACATTCGTAAGCTTTAAATAACTCAAATGAATTTCTATAGTCCAAAACACCTTTATACGTAGACAACAGAGTTTTTTCCCGGAATAATGTTAAATAAATAAATAATTCCCAAAATACTGTTGGGTTAAGAATAATTCCCAAAATACTGCTGGGTTAACCACGGTTAAAGTAAGCCGCCACTCGAAGTGGCGGCTTTTGTGAAGATGTACAAAAGCCGCCACTTCGAGTGGCGTCTCTTGTACTTCTGTACAAAAGCCGCCACTTCGAGTGGCGGCTCATTTATCAGCACTAAAACCCCCTTCTTCCCAATCGACGGAAACGACAGACGAACTCCAACCCCTCTGCAGCGACCGACGAAGGCTAACATCTCCTCGGATTCCGGCCAGATTTCGTCCAAACGAAGCTCAAATCAAAGGGAAAAGACTCGTCGTGTACCTGAGGTCGTTTGTACTCCATTCCTGCGAGTTGCTACAGCTTGAATAGAGGTATTCTACCATTTTTGCTAAACCTAGGTTTTTTTATTTTTTTGTTCGAAATTACTTGGTTTTTTAATTAGTTTCTTTGTATTTGATGTTGTGAAATGTATAAGTTCTTAATGTAGTTATTATTATGATTGACTTTATATGATTTGTTAAATGTGAATGATACCAACGTAACTTCCACCTATTTTTGCTAAAGCTAGGTTTTTTAGGTATTGCTCCAAATAGCTTGAAATTGTTATTGTTTTGTTGAAAATTGTTGTTGTTTTGCTTGAAGTTGTTGTTGTTTACAGGTTTATTAACAGATTTTGATTTTACTTTAACTAATTAAATAATGGTAATTAATCATGTGTTAATTTGTTGCCTTTTCATCAGTCCGCATTTTTAACCCGGTTAATTATTATGAGTCCTTATTTAATGGTATGAAATCGTAATATGTATCTACGATCTAATAATTTTCGTTTGAATTATAGTAATTGTATTTGAATTTTCAAATAGCGGCATATGTCATACTTTTTTTTACCCATTCTTGAGTCTTTTGATGTAGCTGCAGTGTATAGCTGGGGTAGTGCCACTTTAGCATACCTATATCGGCAGTTATGTCGAGGTTGCCATCGTGACGGTGGAGAGATGGGTGGGTTTGTATTGCTCATACAGCTATGGTCGTGGGAGCACATTCATATAGGCAGACCTGTCATTCTGCGATATCATGGGGTACATGCCGGTCCTCTTGATGATGATATGGATCAGCACGCTTTACTTGGGCCACATCACGTTCGTGGCGATGATCCTTTGGGTCGTAGGTATGTATATGATTTTTTTTTTGTATGATGTACGTGAATCCCTTTTATATTCTTATACATTAAAATGTGTCAGATGGTTATTTGCTCATGTCACGCGCACATCATCCGCTGCTGGATTAGGATACTACCGAGATGCTTTAGATCGCTTGTGTGATGATCAGGTATATCATTTATATCATTAAATGTAAGTACTTTGTTTTATGTTTTCATAAACCATGGTCTAACATAATTTTATATTATAGATGACGTGGATGTCGTACACTGATGAGATTCTAGGGCTTTTACCTGCTGTTGCCCGAGAGCACACTGACATATGGCGAGCACGTGTGCCTTTGATATGTTTTGATGTAGTGGAGCATTACTTTCCTGATCGCGTACTACGCCAGTTTGGGTTGCAGCAGGTTACTCCCGGACCTTGTGATACATCTGTGGATTTGCACAAGATTGATAGACGGGGGAAGCACACTGAAGATTGGGGGATGCGCCATATTCAGTATATCACTATGTGGGATGATAGAGCGGCGTATATAGTGGACGGGATCCCATCTTTAGTCCCCACAGCTTCTGTAGACTACATGAGATGGTATTACACCATCACACGGGTGTTTATCTCTCCCAGTTTTCGTTTACCCACTGATCATTACCAGCCTAGCTCAGTCGCTCTTCATATGACGGTAAACAATATAGTCAATGAAATATCTTTATTTATTTATTCATGTGTTTTTCACTAATAACCATGTTTGCATTACAAACACGGGCTTTGCGTAGCATCCATGACAGAGCGACTGCTATACTTGATGAGGCGGTAGATGTACAGGGATACCATGACGCTTGTTCAGGCATTGTTTCACTGTGCGCTGATGTATTGGGTCGAGTCGATTATGGATATATGGCCGCGTCTCAGCATTCCACTGCATCTACATCCGCAGCAGGGTCTTCTCAGGCAGTCCGACGTGATAGAGTTGTTCTTCAGCCTCGTAACCAGCGCAGACGTCCCCGAGCACAACTACATGAACTTCATGATGATGATGATGATCACGTTGAGTTATGATATTTGTATTTCACTTATTGTGTGAAAGTTGTAGTATGCACTAGCAGATCGAATTATTTTGTGATACACCAGATTTATTATAACTTTTATGGTTCATACTCAATTTTGTGGTGTATTGATTCCGTTTGTGAAAGTCTCATAATATGAAGTTTCATTCATTCGTTTTGTGTTTTGGATGTATGTTGTAATGTAGTTTCATTGATTCGTTTTGTGTTTCGGGTGCATGCTGTCTTAGTAAATCATATGTTTGGTTGTTTTTTTTTTCTGGAATGGACTGTGAGTCTCTGATGAGCAAATAATCTGGTTATTATAGGTTATTACAGGTTTAGTTGTTTAAATTAATGCTGCAGCAGGTATCTTAACACAAAAGCCGCCACTTCAAGTGGCGGTTTTTATACAGCGGTACAAGAGCTGCCACTCCAACTGGCGGCTTTTGTAAAGCTTCACAAGAGCCGCCACTTGAAGTGGCGGCTCTTCTTAACCGTGGTTAACCCCAGCAGTATTTTGGGAATTATTCTTAACCCGGCAGTATTTTGGGAATTATTTATTTAATTAGCATTATTCCGGGAAAAAACTCTAGACAACATCACTAACTATAAAATTTATCTAACTCACAGCTCCTTAAAGAATTAAAGGAGTAAAGTAACACTTCCGAAAAAATTGCTTTAAAAAAAAACACTTCCGAAAAAACAAAACGTTTCTTTCCAACAATAGCCTTTACGGCTAAAATAACATTTATACCTCAGAATAGTTTTCATATTTTCTAATAAGTATTTATCCACAAGTAAATCTTCAAACTCATTTATTCTTTAGTTCAAAACTCATATCCATCTTAGGTGAATATCTAGAATACGTGGCTACCGGTCTGATTATTGAGGGGCGGCGGGCGGCCCCACTAGCCCCCACTTGTGTTCGCACGTTTGGTAGCACGAAAATCTGCTGATTCGACTGATCCTGCTTAAATTTATGAAGTTTTGGCTGAAGTGACTGCATTGACTGATTCTGTTGATTTTAGAAAAAAAATATTTTTAAAATATGTTTTATTAATAAAATAAAGAAAAAATTATATAGTAAAATAGCTAAAATTGTCATCTACAGTAACTTCAACCAATACAACCAGAAAAGTAACTCTAACCTCACTTTTTATGCTTATTACACAATTCAGCGCGCGGAAGCAAAAGTTACGTGTTTGGTGAAAAAATTGGTAGGCAAGCCTGATAAGCTGAAAAATTGTGTTGCCAAACGGCCTCTTAATTGAGGGAGTAAAAATGTAATTTCCTTCAAAATAAAAGAATCTTTATTAACAATTGAATTTTATTTTTCCAAGAATGAACATATTTATGATCCATTGTAATTTATTGAAATCATTAGAAACGAATGTTATATAATATTTCTTGGGAGAACTTGAGAGGGCTAGCTAGGACAACAAATAAAAAGGAAACAAGTGAAAAAAGAAGAAAAAACTAAAAATACAAATGGTTGCAAACTTAGAGGGCTTTTGGTAGGATGTAAAATAATTACTTTGCATGCGAAGTGTATAAGGACGTAAAATGTTTACTGTTTGGTTGAATTATTTAATGTAAACTGTAGGGGCTTTATTTAAAACATTTCACAATGTATCATGTAAAGTATTTTATGTGGGGGGAGAGTGGTAAAATACTTTGCATGCTTTTTATGAAGCACTGTAACGATTTTGCGTGCAATTTAAAATTAAATTACACATCTAATCAAACAGTGTAACTTGTTTTACATGCAAAATGATTGTTTCCTTAAACTTTGCATGCAATTATTTCTCGTGCAAAGACTTTGACACGTAAACTTCCAAACAAGCCGAGTTATAGGATGAAGGAAATGAAATAAGAAGTATAAATACGCAGTATTGTTTTTTTTATCATCATATAAATACGTAGTATAAAAAAGGGTGCAACGAGATGGAAGGAAACGAAGAGAAAAGGGAACCCAAAAAAGGGACCGTAGGAGTACTGTGCACTAAGATAAGAAAAAGGATAAAAAAGAAAGCTAAAATGACAATAACCAAGGTTGTTTTCAGGTCACTTGGTCTATTTGATTGTTTTTTACTAGTAAATGTATTAATGTGATTGTTTTTTTAGTACATTGGTTTAAGTGATTTTTTCACAATAGTACAGGGGTGTATTTGACTCTTTTTCCCGAAGTATTATTCCCACGGTTGTAATGGACAGAAATATGAGTGAAACTTGATTTGGACAAAAAGGTACTAACGTGGAGATCAATCGACTAAACTACCCCTAAAGTTAATCAATTTTAGGTTTCCATCGTCTCTTCTTCACGCCGCCCTTTCTCTTGACATTAAACGGCCTCATTTCTTCGTCTCTATTAACATTCCTCAGCCACGACGAACAAGATGATGGCTAGTATTGACGGCGGTGACTTCAGCGATGGATTTTTTCGACGGTGGTACCTAGGGGTGGGCACGGTTCGGGACGGAACGGGAATTGGGTTGTCCCGGTAGGGAACCCGTTTTATAGTAACGGTTCGACACGGGACGGACAAGCCATTGTCCTTTTGTTGTCCCATTTAAACCGGTACCGGGACAAAACGGGACGGTTCGGGACATCCCAAAAAATGTAGTGAAATAATTGCAATCCCAAAAACAAAGCAAAGCTATTTCAAAAAAAAAACTAGAGCAAAAAATCTCTATGACAAAAAACACTATAGTTAATCTAGAAAATTGTGAGAAAAATATAACTTACCATATTAGCTACATGAAACAAAAGTTGCAACAAAAAAAACTCTAACACAAAAACGTATCAAGAAATCTGTAAAAAGTATGATAAAAGAATACTATACGAAGTGAAGCCTTTGGGTGTAAAAATCGATTTCTTTTTTGTAGATAGATGATAGTTCATAGTATGTGATACTAGGTAGTTTAGAGTTTTTTAGGTGTTTAATTAATTGTTAAACAACTAGTATTTTAATAATCATTTTGTATTTCAGTTGTGAAAAAAAGGATTATTATTATTATTTGAATTACATAATGAGTTGTTGGTAGACTCACTAATCCACTACAAAATACAATTTTGGATTTGGGACAATAGGACAGAACGAGATATATTTTACTTGTCTCGGTCTCGTTTTGTTTTGAAATGGTCCGGGACCGGTACGGGACAAAAATAATGTGTCTCAAATATAACGGGACAATTTCGGAACGGAACCGGAACATTCCCGAACGGACCAACGAGACTGGGCCTTTTGCCCACCCCTAGCGGTACCTCGCACGTGCGAGCGAGTGTGCGACGATGATGGATCTCTTCGACGGCAATGATGGCGTCTACGCTGCATTAAGCTCCAGCAATGGTGGTTAGAGTCAATTGAAGATGACTCCAACCTCGTCTGGATTAACTAGTTTGAATGACCAGCTCGAGTTCTTATTCTTCTTCTTCTCCTTATTCTGCTCGCGATTTGCTTTATTATAGATTCAGGGAGATGGTGGCTAGGTTTCAGATCTATGGAGAAGCTAACCTTTGGATCTGTAGGGTTTAGGGATTGGGTGGTGTACGGATGATGCGGCAGTCACTGGCGTGGGTGACGGTATCACTGACTTGGACGGTGGTCTCACTGGTCGGGGCGGTGGTGTCACTGGCCGAGGCGGCGATGTCACTGTCCGGGGCGGCTAGAGTGTCACATGTCACTGTGTCACTATGGGGTGTGTCTCTAAAGCGGCGTCACTGGGGGCGACATCATTGTGACGGAGGCCAATGGTGGTGTCCGGCAGTGGTGTCCGGCAGTGGTGTGTAGGCGGGTAGTAGTGGTCACTATTAAACAGAGTAACTGTAATTGATCGAAACGTGTAATATAACGGGTCGAATTGGGTAATTGCAACGGGTGGAGCTAGGTAATTTATCGGGTCGAGTAATTGTAACTGGTCGGGTTTGGTAACTATAATTGGTTAGATTGGATAATTTTGATTGGTTGGATTTGGTAACTGTAACTGATCGGATTCGTTAACTGTAACTGGTCGGGTCGGGTAACTATAACGGGTCAAATCGGGTTATTGTAACTGGTTGGGTCGAATAACTGTAACTTGGTGGGACAGGTCACTGGGACGGGTTAGGTCATTGTAACGGGCCATGTAACTGTCAACTAAACTCATCAAGGGCAATAAATTTAGTAAGTTTAAAGCTTATTAGTCACATTTTTGGAATTTTTTAAAAAAAGTCTCTTTTTTGTCAAAGAGCTTGATTTTAGTAATATTAGTGCACAAACCCCAAAAAAGATCCCATAAATGTTCTAGTTTTCAGCCATAGTAATTTAATTCAATTAATCTACCCAAACTCATACGTAGGGTTGTATACGAACCGAATCGAGCCGAATAGTGAGTTTTTGTATTTGTATTTGTTTAATTTTTTCGAATCCGAATTCAAATATGAAACAGATATTAATTTCGATTTGTATTTGTTTAACAATACCAATAATTAACGAATCATATACGAATATCGAATCAATTTGAGCATAAGTTAAATATTAGTCAAATATCACTTAGTAAATTTTCTTATATTTTTTACTTTATAAATGCATGTTATGACTTA